GTGTGCATTTTCTCTTGCAGTGAGTTTGATGGTCTCCTGTTGGACTACTCAAGGCAATGTGCCACAGTTGAAACCTTGCAGAAGCTCCTCAAGTTAGCGGAGGTGGGGTTGAATACTTCGTAACCCGTCCTTCTTTGGGAGGTGTTGAATGAATATATTGTTTTCTAATTAATGGTTTGTATTCCACGATGCAGGCTGCATCCCTCAAAGAGAAGATTAATCGAATGTTTGCTGGCGAGCGTGTAAGTTCATGTTTATCTTCCTTTGGTCAAGTATTATGTGAAAACTTGTATTCGATAGCCTTATAGGATGTGTGGAAGAGACCAGCAAATTTCTCAAACCAATAATATACAATTCTTATGCATTTTTGTTTTCTGGATGGCGCTTTCAGATAAACAGCACAGAAAATCGGGCAGTGCTTCATGTAGCTCTTCGTGCTTCAAGGGATGCAGTTATACAGTGTGATGGGAAAAATGTGGTCCCAGATGTTTGGGAAGTTCTGGACAAGATCCAAAAGTTCTCTGAAAGTATTAGAAGTGGATCTTGGGTAATCAACCGAAATTTTTTTACCATCCGTTTTAGGTTCATATTGCTTGAATCCTGAAGTGATTGGCAACTCTGGTAGGTTGGAGCCACAGGAAAAGCACTGAAGGATGTCATTGCTGTTGGTATTGGTGGCAGCTTCTTAGGTCCTCTATTTGTGCACACAGCTCTTCAAACAGGTCAGAGTGATACATTTCATTTATCGATCTGCAGCTCCTTTCACATTTTCTTCTCTTTGCACTTTGTAGTGTGGGTTTTCCTTGTGAAAACGGTTGAACTGACTTCAGAACAAAATTTAGCGAGTGCTCATTAGTTTGATTACATCTTACAGATCCAGAGGCTATGGGAGCAGCAAAGGGAAGGCAGCTGCATTTGTAAGTATTTACGCACTGAACTTTAACTTATTAATTTCCAGTTTTCCATATCAATGAATTAGAACTTAAGATACGATAGTAAGAATCCATTGCTTGAGCCTTGAGGTTTATATCCATATGATACTTTATTTTGTCAATCTAATAATTTGTTTTCTTCTGTCTGCAGTCTTGCAAATGTTGATCCTATTGATGTTGCCAGAAATATTGCAGGGTTCAACCCAGAAACTACCCTTGGTAAGCATTGAGCTTATTTATATGCTAAATATTGACTTTTGTAGTGAAGTGGTGACCTAAGCTCTATGTGGGGTTTCTTATTGTTCATATTCTTTTGATATTTGTAGTCGTGGTAGTTTCAAAAACTTTTACAACAGCTGAAACTATGTTGAATGCTCGAACCCTTAGGGAATGGATATCATCTTCTCTCGGGTTAGTGCATTGCTAACTCTTCTTCGATATATAAGTCTAATAGTTGTTTCAGATTCTGGTTTTGATTATTATTTGATGATTGAATTTGGACTCAGTTACTCTCACTCTATCTAATGGGTGAATGTAATAATTTCAGGCCTGCTGCAGTTGCAAAGCATATGGTAGCAGTCAGCACTAATCTTACGGTATAACCATTTCCTTTGCTCTATTGCCTGTGGTTGATTAAACACTAAGATTATTATTTATTTTAGTTAACTATTTTTCATTAGTCATTTGTCATTCTAAATTCGAAGTTTTTTCTTTTTGGTTTCAAATTTCCAATGCTGATGCAATTTATTAAGACCATTAGGACTGAGGTTATTTTTTTAGATGGAATTCTTGGCAGGCTTAGGTTCTCTAGTTAAAATCCGCAATGAAGTTTTAAGGTCTAGATATCCACTCATTTTATCTTGTGTCTTTCTTTTTCAGCTTGTAGAGAAGTTTGGAATTGACCCAAAAAATGCTTTTGCCTTTTGGGACTGGGTTGGTGGCCGATATAGTGGTAAGTTATTTTCCTTTTTGTGTAGATAATATATGCAGCTACCTTGATGTTTAATTAGTATTTTTGCATTGCTGGTTGCAGTTTGTAGTGCTGTTGGAGTGTTGCCCTTATCTCTTCAGTATGGGTTCCCAGTTGTTGAAAAGTAAGCCATAGCTGTCCCAATTATATTTGAGTCACTTTTGAAATTTGTGATGCATAGATTTGATTTATCACACACCATGAGGCAATGCAGATTACGTTTTGATTATTTATTCTGTTTTTCTGTCTAGGATTCTAACGAAATGTAGTTAATAACTTAATATAGAGAAACTTAAACTTTTGCTGCTCTTTGGAACAAAACAAAAGGTCGTTGCTTTCTCCAGTAAATGTATGTACTTGAGAAACACCTTTTATCTGTGTGATTTCTGAAACTGTATTTTGAGTCAAAATTATAGACACAGATTCCTCCTGCCAGAAAATAAATAAATAAATACTGAAGAAAATATTTTAGATAGGGCGCATGATGTGCTTAATTCATTAGTTGGTGAACTATGATCTTTGTGTATACTAATGCGGATGTTATATTTCCTAATCAAAGGTTCTTAAAGGGAGCTTCTAGCATTGACCAACACTTCTACTCAACACCATTTGAGAAAAATATACCTGTAAGTACCTGAAGTTTGTGTTGTCATAATTATTGTAGAACTAGCCCCTTGCCACACACTAACGCATGTGACAATTGGCTCTTTTATATTTTGTTCGTCTTTATTAATGATTCAAAATAATTCTTTGAAAAAGAAATCAGTAACTACTTCTCTATGTGGGGTGGTGTTTCTTTTGAATTTTTTTTTTTTTTTTTACTATTTTGTCCCTTCTTTTCATCATTTTGGTGTGTTCCCTGTATATATAGATTTGATTGCCTTGTGATATAATGGGGATGTGTTATCTAACGTTTCATCCCTGCTTCAGGTTCTTTTAGGTCTGTTGAGCATTTGGAATGTTTCATTTCTTGGATATCCTGCAAGAGTGAGTCTTACTTTATCCTTTCCAGACTTCATATTTGTAAGCATCAATGAGCTTTGTGTTTTTACTTGTTGCTGCTTATTCCTTAGGCTATCTTACCGTACTCCCAAGCACTGGAGAAGCTTGCTCCGCACATTCAACAGGCAAGTTCACCACTCCTCTATCTGCATTTTTATGTTAGCGCATTTTTATGTTAACTGGACTTACAACTTCCAATTTTTTCTTCAATTTAGGTTAGCATGGAAAGTAACGGCAAGGGTGTATCAATTGATGGTGTAATTCTTCCCTTTGAGACCGGTGAAATTGACTTTGGTGAACCCGGAACAAACGGTCAGCACAGCTTTTACCAACTAATTCACCAGGTGATCTGAACATTCTTTTAGGTTAGCATGAAAAATGATATACAGAACCTTTAGTTTTCTTGTTGTTTGTGAAGGAGGACCAAGCACATTGCTGACCTTCAGATGATTAATTTGGTACTTTGGTTTATGTCGTGTGTGTATGGTTGCTAACTTTTTCTTCCTTAATGTTCAGGGCCGCGTTATTCCTTGTGACTTTATTGGTGTTATGAAGAGTCAGCAACCTGTTTACCTGAAAGGTACCTAATCTAAAGCTCATTTGAAAAGATATTAGCGGCCAATGGATTGTTCAAAGTTTGTATTCTGATGTTTAGTCAGCGGATTGCTACAGGTGAAGTGGTGAGTAACCACGATGAGCTCATGTCTAACTTTTTTGCACAACCCGATGCCCTGGCCTATGGAAAGGTATGCCTTATGCTGATTAATAATAGGAGAGCACAAAAACATGGTCTATGATGTTTCTAACCAAAATCAAGTTTCTTGTAGCACCCAGAACAGCTGAAGAAAGAGAATGTTCCAGAGCATCTTATCACTCATAAGGTGCGTTCCTTTCGGCTTTAGTCATTGGCTTAGGTAAATCTGTAGTACTAATTTATGAGATATCTCTCACAGACTTTCTCTGGAAATCGGCCTTCTCTCAGCCTTCTGCTTCCATCACTAAATGCTTACAATATTGGACAGGTTTGTGATTTGTTCCATTTTCTACCTTCTGTAATGTGATCGGGTCATCCTATGCTTTGACTGCTTGTGTGTTAGCATATGTTGTCAAAATAAATTTTTACGGATAGTTAATTGCTTGATGTGTCGGCATTCACTACACATTTGCTAACTTGTCAATTCTAAGACATAAAATTCAAGGCCTGCATGTTTAGTCTCCGTGCTTGTTTTCTACTGGAAGTACTCCTGGTCGTGTGCTATATGAAGTATAACCTTGTTTTTGTCGGAATTTTATAAAGTCGGTGTACTGCTTTTGCATTCTAATATCGATTTGCCTGCATCCAGTTGTTGGCAATCTACGAACACAGAATCGCAGTTGAAGGTTTTGTATGGGGAATCAATTCTTTTGACCAGTGGGGAGTAGAATTGGGAAAGGTAGAGAACTGCATTAACTTTCATCCGCTCGCTTTCCCATTTAAGATAAGTTTCCTATTCGCCCCTTCATATTTTTAAGATATTCATTTCGTGTTTGTGAGCGCAGTCATTGGCCAGTCAAGTTAGAAAGCAACTCAATGCATCTCGTACAAAGGGGCAACCTATTGAGGGCTTCAATTACAGTACCACAACATTGTTAACAAAATACTTGGAGGTACGCAAATCGAGTTTTCATTTGGAATAATAGATCAGCCGTAGGTTGTCTCGGGAGATTGTTTCCTGTTGGACAGTTTGAGATCCGGTTTGGAACGGAAGTATCATGACGCCAAATTACTCTCTTGTATGACAGGCAACTAAAGACATCCCTGCTGACCTTCCGACGCTTCTGCCACAGATATAGTTGCCTTCTGCCGGAAAAGTTGTACTTTAAAGTCGGTTGAACAAATAAGATTTTAACCTCATGTATATCAACTACCGTTATCCCACCGTTAAGCTACTTGGTTCCAGTTTTGGTTGCAATTTTCTGATATCAACCTCACATTGAGCATAATTGTAGTCGAATTGATATGCTTCTGGGTTCGAAACAGCATATACATGCATATAATATATCTTTTTTCGGTTTTGCAATCACTGAATCGCGTATTGAATCATTGTATTTGTATATACAAAATAAAACCAGTTATTCATTCACTGAATATATTTGCATAACATATTAACAAGAGAGTAGACCGGCCACCTACGACTGAAACAAAACTACCCAACTACATTGTTCCCCAAGTCCCCAAATCCCAAAACACAGCGAAGCCTAAACACCGGTAGGGCGGTCTAAACACCGGTAGGCCCGAACCCTCCGGCACCTCCGGCAGTGGAATCCAAATCCTCAACCTCCACAACATCAGGGGTGATGCTCTTCCCAATGATCAGCTGAGCAATCCTATCACCCTCCTTGATCTCAAAATCGACATCAGAAGAGTTGAAGAGCACAACCCCAACCGGACCCCTGTAATCAGCATCGATGACATCAGCTCCGACAACGATCGAGTGGTCGCATGCCAGCCCCGATCGTGGCCCTGCACACCAATAGAAAATACAGAAAACGCACATCAGTTCAGTATACAAAGAACCAAAATTTATCGAAATTGAACAGGTTGGGGATTAGGGTTTTTACCAATATGTGCATAGGTTCCTTCAGGGACCTCAATGCTCAGATCGGTCGGGACCAGGGCTTTTCCTCTGGCCGGAACTTTCGTCTCCGTCGCGCTACACAAAAATCAAAACAAATCCATAAAACCCCACATCAGATTCCGATGATTTTCCTGAAAAAAAAAAATCAAAACAAATCCAGAAAAACCCACATCAGATTCCGATGATTTTTCTGACTAAAAATGGAGCGTGCGAATAAGGGGTTTTCGGGGTTTACCTCGAGAGATCATACCCTGCAGAGAGAGGCGAGCCTCTCGCGGGCAAAACCGCCTTTTCGGAGTGCTTCTTCACCCGGAAAAACGGGGCGGCGTTTCCAGAAACGTCGCTGTTTTCGTGAAGCCTGGCGATCTTGGGAGTCGGCTCTCTGACTTCGTGGCTTCCTTTCTGCGCGTCTTGCTGGGCCATTCTGAGAGCTTGCGAGAGAAAGCGGCGGCGATGTGGCGGGTATTGTTGGGGGCAAATGGGAAGACGGGGTTCGTTTAAATAGAGAGAGTCGCGAACAATGGCGTTTTCCGCACAATAGCGCCAAGTTTGTTGAAACTTGGAATCCAAGGAAAGCTCATAATGGCGTGTTTACATACCGGGGAAGGATATGGCGGAATGGGAATCATTCCCCATTCCTGATTATTCATCCGTTTACCAAATCAAGCGGAATGAACAGTTTTGTGGGTCCCACGTAAAATCAGGAATTCAATTCCTGATATTGTCGGAATTGGATTACCTACAAGGAGGTAGTATTTGGATTCCGGGGAGAAGGCTCCATCCGGAATCAAATTTTCCTTCCCAAAATGCCCTGCACCTTCAGTACTCCTCTCCCATCTTCTCGTTGTCCTCCGCCATCCTCTCCAGCAGCTCTCTGCTCATCCGCCACCTCCTCTCGCTCCACCTCAAAATCCTCCATGTCCTCCTCCATAGGATTCGGCACAACAAAATCAACCCAAAAATGGCAAGCATACCCAAAGCAAAACTCAAATCTTCAGAAAATCCGAACCCAGTTGCCACCATTGATAATAACAGAAAATTCAGCAACAAAAGGAAACGGAAGTGACGGAGAAGAAAGCGGTACCAGAGAGGCCGAGGGAGAGGAGCGGGTTCAGGTGAGAGGGACCTGAGAAAGACCCGAATTGGCGCTCGGGTTTGTGGAGTCCCGCACTGAGTCACAGGCTTCGACGCCCCTACATCGCCGAAGAAGAAGCGGCAGGAACGGCGAAAAAAAAAAAAAAAACTGTCTGCCAGGATGAGGATATGAGCCGTGGGTTCTAGAATGCCAATTTGGATGGGTTAGTAGATAAGCACAAGAATCCCATTAAAAAATCCAAAAATAAAGCATAAAAGTTTTACTAAAAAAAAATAATAATAATTGTTCTCTCTTCTAAAACAAAAAATGAAAAAATAAAAGATTTACTAAAAATAATTAACATATAAAATACATTAATTAAACTAGGGGTATTTTGGTAATCACAATAGTTTTCATTCCGATTCATGTGAATTAGTAAACAGTTTATATAGATCAATGTCATTCTTATTCCGATTCCAGACAGTTTTAGTAAACAACTTCAAAAGGAATCTGATTCTGATTCCATCTCAATTCAATTCCACCTCAATTCAATTCTTCCTCAATTCAATTCCTCTCAATCTGATTACGGATTAGTAAACGCGTCATTAGAGAGAAGGAGAGAACTGTAGAGAGAGAGAAAAAAAAAAAAAAGGAACTTTAACAAAAAGCACTTGATACTGTTTACTTTAACGAAAAACCACATTTTGACACTAAAAAGTCAATCCTGGTACTATTCACTTTACCCTTTATTTTGTCCTTATCATTAAAACTCAAAGTTTTCAAACTCTTTCATTAATTTTCCTAAAAAAAAATATGTGCCAACTCAGCATAATACAACTAACTAATCACATCACAAACTTATCAGCTAAGTAAGAATCGAATCTGGCGGTGGTTTTGATACATTGTTGCTCTGTGTGTTAACTTATCGTATACTTCACAGCCAAGACATAATCAGTTAAGCCATTGAACTACAACCAACATAAAGTAATATACAACCTCAGTAAACCTTAAATCGAATAAAGAAAACATACTTGCTGTCGAAGACATCATGCATGGATATTAGGTTTAGCCTTCTCTTCTCTGGTGTTTGATATAATACAACCTTCAATGGGACTGGTTTTCTTTTTGGAATCACACCGAGAAAAGAGACCAAGAACCTCTCTTTTATTTACATGAAAAAAAACAATAACTGCTACCCCCCATTAGGGTTTCGGTTATTGCCAGTTACTTAGAGTTGTTAACCAACTCTAATTCAAACATTATAACTTAATGTTTTTCCCTCCATTTATCTATATGGCCATATAATCTCTTATCTTGATGTCGGCATATATATAAATACACTAAGGTTTGATTACACTCACCCTATAAAATCTTACATTCTCCCACATGAGTGTATTCAAAACTGTGATCCATATCATGCTCAACAGCTAAAGAGCAATCACTTAGTCATGATAAGTGCAATAAATCTTTCCAAATAACTACATATGTTTATCAACTGAGTCATAGACAACTTAATACAAATATAAAGTATCAGTGTACCATAACCACAAATTGATCGTACAAATGAAAGTTTGGAACATGAGGAAATTTTAATGAGAGTCTATTTGTATACCATAATAACTCCCACATTTCTTGGTACTCAAGACACTGCAGATGTCTTCTTTATTTCAATCTCTGCAAGATTGACAAACATTATAGTTCTTGTTAGAATGAGCTTTTACGAACTGATCACATCGTCATGCAATTTAGTTCATAGTCTTAATAAGCACAACTTTAGTACAAGAACTCATAAAACGTAGTCATAACTGTGAGAAAATTACCTTACTCCCACATTCAAATATTTTCCATGGATGATTGCAATCCCATATTAGGTAGGTGTCTGTGAAAGGCAGTGACATGTAATGCCTTTGTTAAAGGATCTGCAACCATATGGAATGTGCCAAGATGTTCTATATCCAATACTCATACTCTGATTTTGTCTTGAAGCTTCAAGTATTTGATATCCATAAGTCTTGAAGCCTCTGATCGCTTATTGTTCTTGGCAAAGAACAATGCAGAAGTGTTATCACAGCATATCTTAATCGGTTTCTCTATACTGTGCAAAACTCCCATATAATGAATCACATTCTTTAGCCATCCAACTTGCCTCATAGCTTCAAAACACCCTATATATTCAGATTCCATTGTTGACACAGCTCTGATGGTTTGTTTCTTACTCCTCCATGAAATAGCATCTCCAGCCAATGTGAACACATAGCCACTTGTTGACATTCTGTCATCTACACAACCTCCCAAGTCTGCATCACTATAACCAACAACTTCTAAAACTTTAACTTGATGAAATACCAGCACATGATCTCAGGTTCTTTGTAAGTATACGAGTACTTTCTTTCCTGCATTCCAATGAGCAATGCCAGGATTTGATTGAAACCTTCCCAATACACTGAGTGCAAATGCCAAGTCTGGTCTGGTACATACTTGAGCATACATAACACTCCCCACTAATGAGGCATATGGTTTCTCTTTCATCTGTTCAATGGCATGGATTGTAATTGGACACTGAGCATGTGAAAGCTTGTCACCTTTAGCTATAGGAACATCACCACCATCACAATTCTCCATGTTAAATCTCTTAAGCACTCGATCAATATAATTCTTCTGAGACAAACCCAAAGACTTCTGCAATCTGTCTCTTGTGATTTCAATTCCCAAAACATAATGAGCCACACCTAAATCTTTCATATCAAAGCTTTGAGACAGCATTTGTTTTGTTTCTTTTAACAACTGTACACTTGAGCTAGCAAGAAGTATGTCATCAACATAGAGAACCATGAAAATAAAGTCTGATTTGGCTTGTTTCATATAAATGCAATTGTCAATCTTATTTTCTGAGAAACCAAATGAATTGACAACCTGATCAAACTTCTTATACCATTGTCTAGAAGCTTGTTTAAGGCCATAAATAGACTTGGTAAGCTTGCAGACCATACTTTCCTTCCCCCTTTCAATAAATCCTGGTGGTTGCTTCATATAAATGTCTTCCAATAAGATGTCATTGAGAAAAGCAGTCTTGACATCCATTTGATGCAATTCCAAATCATAATGAGCTGTTAATGCCATAATAACTCTAAAAGAATCTTTTGTAGACACTGGTGAAAAAGTTTCAGTGTAGTCAACACCTTCTCTTTGTGTGAAACCTTTAGCAACAAGTCTCGCTTTGAATCTTTCAACATGTCCTTGTGCATCTCGTTTTGTTTTGAACACCCACTTGCAGCCAGTGGGTTTAATATCACTGGACCCTTCAACTAGACATCAGACTTCATTCTTTGCCATTGAATCCAGTTCATCTTTCATTGCAGCATCCCAAAGTGAAGCATTTTTACTTTCCATTGCTTCCTTATATGTGATAGGATCATCATCATCTCCAACATCAAACTCCACTTCTTGCAGATAAGCAACATAGTCATTTGACAATGCTGGTTTTCTTACTCTTGTGGATTTCCTTACAATTGGTATCACCTCATTTACATTCTGTGCATTTTCAACTTCTGCAACATTATTTAACTCATTTAGGACTTCTGTAGCATGCAAATTCCCTTCTAGTTGATTCAAAATCATTTGATCTTCAGTATTGGAAGTAAGTGGCAAAGAAAATAAATTTGAAACTACACTAGATGAAATTGGCAAGGTAATATGATTAACTGTAGGTAAAGGAATTGAAGTTTCCTCATCTCTTTCTTCAAACACATATGAATTTCTGGAATGGGAATGTGGTGCTCCAAAATCTTCAATGAACTTAGCATTGCTGTTTTCAACCAATCTGGTATAAGAACCTGGACAATAAAACCTGTAACCTTTCGATTTCTCAGCATATCCAACAAAAAAGCAACTGGTAGTCTTTAAATCCAGTTTCTTTTCATTAGGATTATATAATCTTGCCTCACATCTGCAACCCCAACTGTGAAAATGGTTAAAACTTGGTATCCTACCTGTCCAAATTTCGAAAGGAATAGACTTGACTGCCTTGGTTGGGACTCGATTAAGTATGTAGTTTGCAATTTTGATAGCTTCACCCCAAAGGAATTCTGGTAGCTGTGAATGAGATAACATGCTCCTGACCATGTCTTTCAAGGTTCTATTCCGTCTTTCAGCCACTCCATTTTGGGAAAGAGTCCCAGGAGTAGTGTATTGACCAACAATCCCTTCTTGCTGCAAAAACAATGCGAAATGACCCTTTTGTTGTCCTACTTCAGTGTATCTACCAAAATATTCTCCTCCACGATCGGATCTCACAATCTTAATTTGTTTGTTTAGTTGCTTTTCAACCTCAAGTTTGAAAATTTTAAAACACTTAAGTACTTGTGACTTCTCTGAAATAAAAAACAGGTAAGTATATCTTGAAAAATCATCTATGAAGAGTACAAAATAGGAATTGCCACATATAGTCTTTCTTGGAAATGGTCCACACACATCTGTGTGTATTATCTCCAAGAGATCATTGCTTCTGGTAGCTTTCGATTTGTTTGTTGAATTAGTTGTCTTCCCTTTAAAACAGTCTATGCAAGTCCCAAGTTCATTTGGATTAATCTCTGGCAATGCACCATCTTTCACTAGTCTCATCATTCTCTCTTTTGATATGTGCCCAAGTCTTCGATGCCAAAGCATAGAAGATGTTTCATTAGTGAGCAGCCTTTTAAATGCAGAATGATCAACATTAAGACAATCATGAAAGTAAGTACACTCAATTTGCCAAAGATCACCATTAAGAAATGCATATCCAAGGAGATTGTCAAACTGGTTATTTAAATAAAAAATAATTTGAGTTTCATTACCAACATACGAAAAACCATCTCTTACAAACTGTGTTACAGAAAACAGATTCCTTCTCATAGAAGGTACATAAAGAACATTGTTTAAAACAATACATAGCCAGAAGACAATCTCAACTTTACTTTACCAACTTATTCAATAGTCACTTTATTTCCATTTCCAACATAGACATTGTAGATTTCCTTATTTGTCTCCTTCAGGCTTTGAAATCCCTGCAAAGAGTTTGTTATATGTGTAGAACAGCCAGTGTCAAACTACCAAGAATTTTGAGGTATAAAAATCATATTCGATTCAACTGTGACAAAAACATCAATGGTTTTCATACCTTTTTTAATGAGCCAACCTTTAAAGCCTGGACAATTTTTCCTCAAGTGTTCAGTGGATTGACAGTAATAACATTTCTTAAGATGGATTGCATTTGGTCTGAGACCAATGCTCGTGGAAGCAGCATTATTTTTAGCAAATACAACTGAGTGTTTTGCATTTTTCTTTGAGGGAAAGTGAGAACCTGCATTATGTGGCTTTGATCCCTTGTAGTTGCTGTTCTTGTAAGGAATGGTTGTTTTTCCCTTGCCTTTCTCAGCTTGAACAACATTAACAGTCTCAATCTTAGTTCTCTTCATCCTCTCCTCCTCTTGACAACATATTGCAATGAGTTCATTAATGCTCCAGGTCTCTTTTTGAGTGTTATAATTGACTTTGATTTGCTCATAGTCACTTGAAAGTGAGTGCAGTGTCATGTGCACCAGAAATTGGTCAGTGATGCCAATGTCCAGTGCATTTAACTTGTTGGAAATGTTCACCAGTTTGAAAAGATGCTCCCGAATACTACCAACGCCATCATGCTTGGCATTGATAAATGCTGAGAGGTATGAACCAGTTTCTGCCTTATCAGATCTCTTAAATTTTTCTTCTACCTTATCCATATAAGCCTTGGCCAAGTCACATGCGGGAATGCCTCCTCTCACATGTTCTTCCATTGCATTCTGCATAATCAAGAGTGACATTTGATTTGCCCTCTCCCACTGGGCAAACAGGTCCCTTTGAACTGTTGTGCTATTATCAGCAAGTGCACTTGGTTGAGGTAGCTTGAAAGCAATGTCAAATTCCAACATTCCCAGGTGCATTTCAATTTGCTGCTTCCAAGTCTTAAAATTGTTGCCATTCAGTTTCTCAATGTTGATAAGATTCAACATATTGAAATGTGTATTCGTTACGAACTGATTAATTCACTTGCACTTGTGACAAAAATCAATAACTTAACGATCTTATCACAGTTAATCTGTGGAACCAGTCACACCTTTGGGCAAGAAACTGTCCATATAATACATTAAGTATGTGAATATCAATTCTTGTATAATCTTGAACAAAAAATACAGTAACTTATGTAAACTGCACACCTTTAGGCATGAACTTTTACAAAACTACAACCTTTTTATAGAGATTATACATTGATTCATAGCAAACCCAGCAGATCAATTCTTTGGAATTTAACTCTACTTGTTAAATGCTTGTAAATCATCCCTTTTGCAGAAAATGAAACCTTAAATTCATGAGTATAAATATATCATTTTGATGATGTATTTAAGCAGTGATAAGTATTTCAAACCAGCAAGTAGTCTTCATCAATTTTAAGATTATTCATAATGTTGATCTATTCATCAGATCAACTAACTTTATTCTCATGCATAGTTACAGAGTATAACGATGCAGTTGCAAGATATCATAACATATGATAAGCAATAACAGCGGAAACTAGAATCAATTTGCATAAGACAAAACGAGTTCAACGCTTTAACTGTTGGCTCTGATACCACATGTTAACTTATCTTATACTTCACAGCCAAGACATAATCAGTTAAGCCATTGAACTACAACCAACATAGAGTAATATACAACCCCAGTAAACCTTAAATCGAATAAAGAAAACATACTTGCTGTCGAAGACATCATGCATGGATATTAGGTTTAGCCTTCTCTTCTCTGGTGTTTGATACAATACAACCTTCAATGGGACTGGTTTTCTTTTTGGAATCACACCGAGAAAAGAGACCAAGAACCTCTCTTTTATTTACATGAAAAAAAACAATATCTCTTATCTTGATGTCGGCATATATATAAATACACTAAGGTTTGATTACACTCACCCTATAAAATCTTACACTGTGAGGATGTATTCTCAACAAAGTTTACCCGCCATTTTTCTGTTGCTACGTATTGTGCGCAGACTCGTATAAATGCTCTGTCCAGCCGCCTCCTCCCCCTCCTCCTCCGACGTCAGCTTTAGTGATTTGTTCCATTTTCTACCTTCTGTAATGTGATCGGGTCATCCTCTGGTTTGACTACCTGTGTGTTAGCATATGTTGCCTTCTGCCGGAAAAGTTCTACTTGATCATCTGGTTTTAACCTTATGTATATCAACTGCAATTAGCCCGGATTCTAGCTACTTGGTTCCAGTTTTGGTTGCAATTTTCTGATACATTGAGCATATAATATATCTTTTCAATTTTTCAGTCATTGAATCGCTTATTGAATCATTATATTTTCATTCCCCGTTCGTGTTTGTTCTTCAAATTGAAGTAAATTAAAGAAGCCATGGATGTACAAAATAAACTCATTCATTCACCGAATATATTTGCATAACAAGAGAGTAGACCGGCCACCTACGACTGAAACAAAACTACCCAACTACATTGTTCCCCAAGCCCCCGATCACAAAACACAGCGAAGCCTAAACACCGGTAGGGCGGTCTAAACACCGGTAGACCCGAACCCTCCGGCACCTCTGGCAGTGGAATCCAAATCCTCAACCTCCACAACATCAGGGGTGATGATCTTCTCAATGATCAGCTGAGCAATCCTATCACCCTCCTTGATCTCAAAATCAACATTGGAAAAGTTGAACAGCACAACCCCAACCGGACCCCTGTAATCAGCATCGATGACACCAGCTCCGACATCGATCGAATGCTTCCATGCCAGCCCCGATCGTGGCGCTGCACACCAACAGAAAATACAGAAAACGCACATCAGTTCAGTATACAAAGAACCAAAATTTATCGAAATTGAACAGAAAGTATGGGGATTAAGGTTTTTACCAATTCGTGCATAGGTTCCTTCAGGGACCGCAATGCTCAGATCGGTTGGGACCAGGGCTTTTCCTCTGGCCGGAACTTTCGTCTCCGTCGCGCTGCACAAAAATCAAAACAAATCCAGAAAAACCCACATCAGATTCCGATGATTTTTCTGAAAAAAAAAATGGAGCGTGTGAATAAGGGGTTTTCGAGGTTTACCTCGAGAGATCATAGGCTGCAGAGTGAGGCGAGCCTCTCGCGGGCAAAACCGCCTTTTCGGAGAGCTTCTTCACCAGGAAAAACGGGGCGGCATTTCCAGAAACGTCGTCGTTTTCGTGAAGCCTGGCGATCTTGGTAGTCGGCTTTTTGACTTCGTGGCTTCCGTTCTGCGCGTCTTGCTGGGCCATTCTGAGAGCTTGCGAGAGACAGCGGCGGCGATGTGGCGGGAATTGGCAATGACCGAATTTTGGGCGCCAATGGGAAGACTGGGTTCGTTCAAATAGAGAGAGAGTCGCGAACACTGGCATTTCCCGCGCAATGGCGCCAAGCTTTCCCGCCATTTTTCTGTTGCTACTTATTGTGCGCAGACTCGTATAAATGCTCTCTCTTCTCCTCCGACGACGACGACGTCAGCTTTAGGGATTTTGGGCCGATCTTTAAAAATGGGGATAAACCTCAGCCCAATGGTCTGGAAAGAAAGATCAATAACCCAATCAGTTTTAATTCACTTAAAAGTTCGGCCCAACTTGGTCTGAAATTGATCAAGTTTATTTATTGATTTATGGGTCATGAGGATTTTTTTTTTTTTAATCTTGGTAATAAGCTTTTTTTATTTTTAAAATCATAAGGAACAAAGCTTTTGAAAAAGATTTACCAAATTAAAGCTTTTAAAATAAAACTCTTAACAATACCATTTCATAAATGGCGAAGCAAGAAATTGAATTGGGAAGAAAAGTATCAATAGATTAATAGTTAGTAGATACTGTAGATTTTTTTACATCTTACTTGGTTCGAGGATCAAACTTTAGACTCCAATCACAATCACTTCACTACTTTGAATCCAACTTATTTATAATCTGATTAGTGTTATTTTTCATACAATTCAAGTGCAAGTATGTTTGGAACCAAGTCGATGCCATCTCTTAACATGCACGCATTGCAAGGTAGGGAAGAGGATCATCTCGTGAGCTCAGGATGGGGATCCTCCTCCTGATCACGTAATTCGGGACGTTCAAATTTAATCAAACGGCTCCAAACAGGAGGTCCCTCTAAAAGTTATAATAATTGCAACCATTGGATTAAATTTAAACGGCCCGAATTTCGTGGTCAGGAGGATCCCCATCCTGAGCTCAGGAGAGGATCCTCTTCCGCAAGGTAGTACACACTTATTATATGTAAAACAAAACCAATGTGAATGAAAAACAAAAATATCATTATGCCATTTTGTTGTTTGGTAAATGTTAAGTTGCCCTAATAGTTCAAGTAGTTTAGTTACAACAGGCAAGGGCAAGTCCATCGGTTCTTGAAAGGTAGAGTCAAGGCTGCCTAATTGCCCAAAACACAAAAAGTTACTCTAGCGGGCCATTTTTAGAGGGCGATTCGTGGGCTCCACCAAACCTGTTGGATTGCCCAGCTAACTTATGTCAGGTATTGAGCATGTTGATAATGAATGACGCTGGAGTGACGTCAACAAGTGGAGGGCGAGCCACGCGACAAACGACAAACGATAGAGCCCAATGGCTCTTTGCTTCGTGTGTTTTATACCATTGGATTTTCAACGGTCTAATAATTCAACAACAACAACAACAACAACAACAAAGCCTTTTCCCACTAAGTGGGGTCGGCTATATGAATCCTAGAACGCCATTGCGCTCGGTTTTGTGTCATGTCCTCCGTTAGATCCAAGTACTCTAAGTCTTTTCTTAGAGTCTCTTCCAAAGTTTTCCTAGGTCTTCCTCTACCCCTTCGGCCCTGAACCTCTGTCCCGTAGTCACATCTTTGAACCGGAGCGTCAGTCGGCCTTCTTTGCACATGTCCAAATCACCGGAGCCGATTTTCTCTCATCTTTCCTACAATTTCGGCTACTCCTACTTTACCTCGGATATCCTCATTCCCAATCTTATCCTTGCTCGTGTGCCCACACATCCCACAAAGCATCCTCATCTCCGCTACACCCATTTTGTGTACGTGTTGATGCTTCACCGCCCAACATTCTGTGCCATACAACATCGCTGGCCTTATTGCCGTCCTATAAAATTTTCCCTTGAGCTTCAGTGGCCTACGACGGTCACACAACACGCCGGATGCACTCTTACACTTCATCCATCCAGCTCGTATTCTATGGTTGAGATCTCCATCTCATTCTCCGTTCTCTTGCAAGATAGATCCTAGGTAGCGAAAACGGTCGCTTTTTGTGATCTTCGCTAGATTGCTCCGGTCATTAGTGTGGATAAGTATATAAATGGATAGAGATAGGAAAGCAAACACAAGATATACGTGGTTCACCCAGATTGGCTACGTCCACGGAATAGAAGAGTTCTCATTAATTGTGAAGGGTTTACACAAGTACATAGGTTCATGCTCTCCTTTAATGAGTACAAGTGAATGATTTAGTACAAATGACATTAGGAAATATTGTGGGAGAATGATCTCGTAATCACGAAACTTCTAAGTATCGGAGTGTGGTGTCGTCTTGACTTGCCTTATCTGTCTCATAGGTAGATGTGGCATCTTCTCTGGAAGTACTCTTCCTCCATCCAGGGGTGGTATCTTTAACTGGTGGAGATGCACAAGGTAATGTATCAATTTCACTTGAAGCTTACTTGTAGTTTCAAGCTTGGTCAAGCGCGATACAAACCATGTAGTAGGAGTCCCCCAAGTCGCCGAGCTAGGGGTCTACTGAAAGAGGTGACAGACAAGGTAAGCAATCAGAGCTCCGACCGATTGTTCACCTTCTCCCCATCTTGCAGCAGCATGAAGGATAAAAGAGAGAAAAAATGAGAAGAGATGATATGAGATACTTTTGCTTTTGAAGAAGTAACTTTCCACAGGCTTATTCTTGAACTGAGCTGGAGGGTTTTCTGGTTTCCTCCAGAGTATAAGGCCGACTGAAGAATTTGAGGGTCAAAACAAGTCCATCAAATCTAGAGTACGTTCCACCCTGCTGATATGGGATACTTTTGCTTTTGACAGAGTAATGGATGTATCGGCACGTGTGTGCTGTTACGCTTGTCTCCACATGCTTCCTTGTATCCTTCGCACTTGCCCTATCTGTTCCTCAAGCAGATGTGCGGAATCTTCCCTGGAAACATAAGATGGTGAAGATGAGTACTCGAGAGCAATGCCAGGTAAGTAATCAGGTAAGGGGGTTCCAGGCAGTTAGTTCCTGGCTGGAAGCTTGATTCCAAGTGCTGACTGATTGCTCTCTTTCTCCTTGTCTTGCAGGTAAAAACAAGGCCAAAGGAAAAGACAGGGAAAAAGCATGATATGGGATACTCTTGCTTTTAACCCTGATGATATGAGATATTCTTGCTCTAGTATAGCTTGTTTGCAGAGGTATTATCGGGGGGAAAGAAAGCTGAATATTTCGAAAGGCTTCGTTGGGAGTGCCCTCTCAGATATGATGAAGGGTTGAGCATTTTTGCAGGTCTGCCTGTCCGTTGGGGATGGAGGTCGACATATATAGGAGTCTCCCTAACAAGTAGTAATGCTATTCATTTACCCTGCTTGGTCATAGCACGGTAGTGGGAGCTGCCAGTTTCACATGTTTTAACTCTGTCAGAGCACTTTGAAAAAGTGGTCTGTGGTATCTGGCTCTCGAGATTCGGAGAGCGATGCCTCTTCGATTTTTGAGAAAGCAATCATGCTGGGGGTCTAGCTCTCGAGATTCGGAGAGCAGTGTCTCTTCGATTTTTGAGGAAGTAATCATGTTGGGAGTCTGGCTCTCGAGATTCGGAGGGCGGTGCCTCTTCGATTTTGGAGCAAGCAATCCTGTTGGGAGTGTTTTCTCGAATGTGAGTAAAGGTTGGGCATGTTTGCTAGTCTACCTTGCCCCGAAGCACAAAGGTTGACACACAGGAACTTTCCAATTATCTAGCAATGGTACTGTTCCTTTACCCTCTCTTCGCTTTTGAGAAAGTAGTCATGTTGGGAGTCTGGCTCTCGAGATTCGGAGGACGGTGCCTCTTCGATTTTGGAGCAAGCAATTTTGTTGGGAGTGTTTTCTCGAATGTGAGTAAAGGTTGGGCATGTTTGCTAGTCTACCTTGCCACGAAGCAGAGAGGTTGACACACAGGAACTTTCCAATTATCCAGCAATGGTACTGTTCCTTTACCCTTGTGGGTAATAATATGGTAGCTAGACCTTCAAAATTTATGTGTCTAAACTTTGTTAGTGCTGTTTCTTTGCTATTCTTTTACCTTTCTTGGTCAGAGCGAGCGATGTAGTGGGAGCTGCAAGCTTCACGTGCTCAACTTTGGCAGAGAACTTTGGCAAAGTTATCTGTGGTACCCATGAGCTATTGTTGCGTGTGGGAAGTGGGTGATTGAACAGTAAGATTCATGTGCTTTCTACTTCACCAGAAGTCTTCGACAGAATGCCCATAATTTCTGCAAAGCTGAGTGTGCGTGTGACAGGTGCTGACAAGGCTAGAATAGTAGGTGCCTCTTCGATTTCTGAGATCGGCCCTCGTGGTCTCTGACCAGCCCAGCTTTTGAGAAAGCGAGCGCCTCTTCGATTGATTTGGAGAACGATGCCTTATCGATTTTTGAGAAAGCAATCATGCTGGGGCTCTGGCTCTCGAAGATTCGGGGAGCAGTGTCTCTTCGATTTTTGAGAAAGTAATCATGTTGGGAGTCTGGCTCTCGAGATTCGGAGGGCGGTGCCTCTTCGATTTTGGAGCAAGCAATCTTGTTGGGAGTGTTTTCTCGAATGTGAGTAAAGGTTGGGCATGTTTGCTAGTCTACCTTGCCACGAAGCACAGAGGTTGACACACAGGGACTTTCCAATTATCCAGCAATGGTACTGTTCCTTTACCCTCTCTTCGATTTTTAAGAAAGTAGTCATGTTGGGAGTCTGGCTCTCGAGATTCGGAGGACGGTGCCTCTTCGATTTTGGAGCAAGCAATCTTATTGGGAGTGTTTTCTCGAATGTGAGTAAAGGTTGGGCATGTTTGCTAGTCTACCTTGCCACGAAGCACAGAGGTTGACACACAGGGACTTTCCAATTATCCAGCAGTGGTACTGTTCCTTTACCCTTGTGGGTAATAATATGGTAGCTAGACCTTCAAAATTTATGGGTCTAAACTTTGTTAGTGCTGTTTCTTTGCTATTCTTTTACCCTTCTTGGTCAGAGCGATGTAGTGGGAGCTGCAAGCTTCACGTGCTCAACTTTGGCAGAGAACTTTGGCAAAGTTATCTGTGTGGTACCCATGAGCTATTGTTGCGTGTGGGAAGTGGGTGATTGAACAGTAAGATTCATGAGTTTTCTACTTCCCCAGAAGTCTTCGACAGAATGCCCATAATTTCCGCAAAGCTGAGTGTGCGTGTGACAGGTGCTGA